ATATATATATATATATATATATATATATAAACACACACTTTTATTATATAAATCGATCTATAATTGAGGGTGAAAGGTTAATAAAATGTAATAGAGAGAAAAAATGATGTGACAAAATCATGAACATATATAGAGATTTATGATGTAGATTCATGATTGTGGATGTTCTGAGATGCTAAAATAACATAAAAAATGAACACAAATATATCAAAAGAAATCACCATTATTCTAACATTTTGTTTTTTTTTAAATAACATAACATAACGAAAACTGGGTAAATAAGAGAGAGAAAAAAAGAATTCTAACAATTTAATTTATTTAACTATTTACATATTAATGTCATAGTATATAAATAGCCACATGTTATTTTGAGAAGTAAATAAGTGTTGGTCAGATTGTGACATAACAATATCACTGCAACAATATTACTTAAACAACTATTAGGGGTCGTTTGCTAAACGCTTACCCGGTAAGTGCTTATTGGGTAATTTGTCTTACCGGATGAACATAACAAGGGTGAAAAATCTTACTTGGTAAGAGCAATGATAAAGATGAAGAGTCTTAAACGGTAAGTGAGAGTGACGACTCTTACCCTAGATGGCGAATCGCCTATTCTGGTGTTTATCATTGATGGTATACAACCGGTTTACGAACTAATGAAGATCTTTATTAATGGGTGGCTCCGCGATTCCTAGCTGATTCGAAATTGTCTTTCCTTCCAAGACCTAACTTGGTTTATCCCAAGCAAATTACTTCTTTTTAATTTCAAAGGAATTGACACTCATAGTACCGTGAGGGGACCAACATTTATGTGTCGTTCATCTGTCTCCATCAAGGTAGCTTACTCTCATTTCATAACCCAACAACCTTCTTGCAGCTCCCATTTTGGATGTCCTTTTAATCAGGGCTGACCTATGTATCTCTAAGCGGACTCGCATGCGTCCGCACAACGTAGGATTTTTTAAAAGGTGCATCATCGAAACTTTGTGGGATGCTCCGGAATATAAGAAATATCAACAAAAAAAGGGGGAAAAAATACTTCGAAGTCAATTAAAAAATCGAAATAACATCTACGTAGATAATGTCATCATTAACATGTCAACAGGTTAACAAAAACCATAAATAAAGGAAAAGTTTGTTTTAGAACCAACAACAATATTGTTATCTCTTACTAAACTTAGTACTCTTTCTTTCATTTTCAATAAGTTTTCTAGGTATTTGTTAATAATAAAACGTACATTACTAAGAAAAAACGTTTGATTTTTGGCTAAATATTATAAGAACGATGCAACTGATTTTTTTTTAAATAACAATGTTATTATACGTGAAATGTTACTAAGGTGACGTTTGTTTTTTAAGAGGTGTTAAAGTCTGAAGTCTTATGTCACTTCTGATTTATAAGAGGTGGTCTTGAAGTCTGAAATTTGGATCAATAAGAGTGTTTTTTTACATGTCTGAAGTTTGAAATTTGAATCGGTCAAACTAGTGTAAAATTATAAAAGATAAATAGTTTTTTTTTTTACAAAAGTATAAAAAACGAATAGTTTTTGCTAACTAATCCAGCCCCCAAAATATGAACCATGTGATAGAGGGCGGATTAGGATTAAGAGATGTTAAGGGATACATTTACCACTTAAAATTTCAAAAGGACATTTAGAGCTTTTAAGCTCTTATTTTAAAAATAAAACAAACGCTCTTAATACTCAAACGTCTAAACGAATCAGACTTCAGAGGTATTAAAAGATAATTTTGGAAAAAACAAACAGACCCTAAATAATAATTAATGTTAACACACCAATATGTACAATTGCAACCGGTTTTTTTGAAAATCGGTTATCGTTGTCGAAAAAGTACAAAAAATACTCGAGTCGAGCTTTCGTATTTGAAAATTTTGTATATATGTTTATAAGATCCAAACACGTGAGTACGGTCGTTTTATACTCGTAGTTTTATACAAAAAGTTTCAAATTGGTCCTTACACTTTCCTTTGTTCTTCTTTCACCCTCTTTACTTTTCTTTCCCTAAATATACCCTGCAACATGAAAAGAAGAAAACCAAATCACCATCTCCTCAGTTAACTCTTCCCTTTTCTTGCTCTTCACTTCCTCAACCTCCACCGGAAACCGGCAAACTGGACACGTTTTCCGGCAAACATCAAACCACTTATCGACACACGCTTTGTGGAACTCATGCCCGCAAGCAAGAACACGCTTTTCGTCATCGGTAGCCTTCTCGAGTCTCAGTAGGCACACACAACATGACTCGCCCTCGAGGCCGGGCTCAATGGCCTGTGGACGATTGGTCGGAGTCACGGCTCGTAGACCGAAGTATGAACGAACCGAGGAGATCAGTTTATGGATCATCGTGAAATATGGTTACGATATTTGATTCGATTAAAGAGAGGTTAGGTTGATATAAGATGGGTGTGAGCCAGTAATGAGTCAATTTGATGGACATTTGTTTGGCGTGGGTTTGAAGGGTGTTTAGATTGGGAGTTTCCAACACATAAGAAGTTACACCTACAAGAGAAGTGTTACCTGTGACCATATTTTTTGTTATTTTTCTTTTTTTTTAAATATATTTATTAATAATTTTAACGTACGATGAATCATTATCGACGTATAATGTTAAAATCAAGAGAACGGTTTAGAACACGTAAGTATACCTTTTTAGGCCGTATGTTTTGGCAATTTCGCAATAATAAGCTAGGGGTTGTTTGGCAGTTGCTGAATGGTTTGGTGCAAAATGATTAAGTGGTCAGAACGATTAAGAGGCTCTCATGATATAGTGCAAAATGAAATATAATTATTTGGTGATTGTTTACAATGAAATTAGGGCGCTGAATGGTTAAAGGAGACCCATAATGCAAAATCATTCAGAGAATTTTAGAACTATTAAGAGACAGATTTTTTTTTTTGCCAAACAAGATTCACCTTTTAACGATTCAAAAAGTTGTCTTCTAATGGAACTATTAAGAGGTAAACCAACAACCCCTTAGTTTATTTTTTTTTTATTTCAATTGAAAAGAATCGTGTTTCGTGAGACATAAACTACCTTTTTGAAAGACAGCTGCAGATAGTTAATTGGGTTTTTTTTTTTTTAAATTTCCATATACCCATTATATTTTTTAGGTTGTTTTACATTGTCATCCAAATATGATTAGTTCATTAGCGAGCTTATTAACATTAGCCTTAAGCCGATTGACGCATTTGATCCCTTTTGTTTACTTCATCAATAAAATACAACTAAAATTTCCCCGTCTTTTATTAGTATATAGATATTTTTTAAGGTTGGTTGGATAAATAAATCGTTCTATATAAAGCGTCTTTTTTAAGATCGGTTTACGGTATTGATAGTTCAATCGACCAACTAAGATTATTTTACTGATAGTGACAAGATTGGGTTACGTATCACTCATTGTCCTGGAACTTTAAGTACGAAGCTTTTTTTTCTCGAGCAAGCTACTGTTTGGATGAAGCTATGTACCCGAGTAGAGATGATTTATCTCATAAACGTAAGTTCCGCTCATCCAAAATATAATTGATCGATAATTAAGTCAAATACATTGGAAGATTTGAAATTTGAAGCAAAGGGGGAGATTGAAAGAACTTGAAGATTGTTTCTAATATGAAGTAAATTTTTTAAGCTATAAAATTTAATTTAAAAACTAGAAGTGATTTTTAGACGTTGAAAATTGTGAAATTTTAAAATTTATACATTGAAGCTTATAAAATCGTACTTTTCGAAATTTTAAGGAGGTGATTGGGATTGCTTTTTTAAAACAACTTTTTTTTTATAAAAGTGTTTATCAATTTATCTGGTGTTAAATTGGAGTTTTAATAAAAATGTTTGGATTAACTTATGGCGGTACCAAAACGTAATAAGCTGATAAGTTGTTTTATAGTGTTTGACAAATTTTGCTTACAAATGTAAAATGATCAAAAGGACCTTGTGAAATTGAAGTGAAGAAGACCTTGTGAACCCATTTCTCCCTTCTCTCATTTCTATGAAATCAAATCAAGACCATTTCCATTTCTCCCATTTCTGTTAAATTGAACCAAACAAGGACCATCTTCATGGAAGTCGGAAACCATGGAAGTTGACAACCATGGAAACCAAAGAGGAAAATGTTGATGAATACTTGATTTTCAATAGTGAAGGTTGATTTCTCACCTGATTTCCATCGTCCTATGCCTCAATCAGAAAACAGTGCAGGTCGACTTCTTAACAGTGAAGGTCGATTTCTCACCTGATTTCCATCGTCCCTATGCCTCGATCAGAAAACAGTGCAGGTCGACTTCTTAATAGTGAAGGTCGATAGTGAAGGTCGATTTCACACCTGATTTCCATCGTCTTTGTGCCTCGATCAGAAACCATGAGGTCGATTTTCATTAGCGAAGGTCAATGTTGATGAAGGGGTGTTTGGGATCAAAAACACCTTTGGTGAAGGTCAGTTTTCGATTTTGCAATGAAGGTCGATGTCGATGTCGATGTCAATGTTGATTTTTGATTTTCAATTTTGCAGGTGAAGGTCACTCTAATCTGATGCGTAGTTTAGGTTTAGGGTTAAAAAGGTAAATTAGTTTCCAAAACTAATAAGTTGAATCTGATAAGTTAGAATATTCTAACTTATCAAAAACTCTTTATTAGTAGTTTGACACCGATATAAACAGTTTTTTTCTTCTCATCCTAAAAATTGTTTATCATCGATATTACATCATAATAAGTCAATGAACACTTTAAATAAGTTATCCCAACCGTAACTGTTTTTAGAAAATTTCAAGAAGAATGGTAACTCATTTTTATAGAGTAGGGATATATCTTCCTCGGGTTAAACGACGTCGTGTTCTACTGTTATACATATAGAGAGAGAGATAGCAGACAGAGAGAGAGGTCCCCAATGGCAGGAAGAGAAGATGTCAATTGAAAAATAAAGAAAACCCTGATCTGGAAATGAATGGCAAGAGCGTTCATGCGAGAGCTCTTACGCTACGGAAGGAATCATGATTTTCTGATAAACCCTTTCTCCAAATCCCAAAGAAACCACTATTATTCTTCTTCTGAATTGGCATCTGATTTTCCATATTTTTCTTTGAAAGAAACATCAGTAAACCTCATACAGACATGCCGAAACTCATCCCGATTTTATCAGATCCAGAGCCGCTTCATAACTTCAGGATTCTTACAAAGTCCATCCATGGCTGGCAGAGTGTTGAAGCTTTCTTTGAATTTCTGTGACATTGATTACACACTAATGATTTTCAAGTGTATTGATTTTCCAGATACTTTCTGTGTAAATACTGTTATCAAGGCTTATGCTTGCGCTTCTTTGCCAAACAAAGTTGTAGGGTTTTATTTTGAAATGCTTCAAGAAGATGGGGTGTTGTTTCAACCCAATAGTTTTACGTTCCCACCTCTGATTAGCTCGTGTACGAAATCAAGGGATTCCGTATTGGGTCGAAAATGCCATGGACAGGCTGTGAAGGTTGGTGCTGATATAACTTTGCACGTTGAAAATGCTTTAATTCATATGTATGCGTCTTGTGGGTTTATTGATATTGCATGGAAGGTGTTTGCTGAAATGCCTGTGAGAGACTTGGTGTCATGGAACTCTTTGCTGGATGGGTATATCAAAGTCGGTGATATGGGGGATGCCCATAAACTGTTTGACAAAATGCCCGAAAGAAATGTGGTATCTTGGAATGCTATGATGAAGGGATATTTAGATGTTAAGAACCCTGGGCTTGTGCTGAAGCTGTTTAGGAAGATGATTGGAACAGGTGAGAGCGGGAATGACACAACGATCGTGAGTGTGCTTACTGCTTGTGGCAGGTCGTGCAGATTGAAAGAAGGAAGATCAGTTCACGCTGTTCTTATCCGAATGTTGATGGCTGTATCATTGATCATTGGCACAGCTCTAATTGATATGTACAGTAAATGTGGGAGACCAGATATTGCTCAGATCATCTTTGATAGAATGTTAAATAAGAATTTGGTGTGTTGGAATGCAATTATTTCAGGCCAATCTATTCACGGAAACCCAAAATGCGGGCTTCGTTTGTTTGATGAAATGTTAAAGCTTGGTGAAGTAATTCCAGATGAAGCCACTTATATTGGTGTGTTATGTGCTTGTGCTCGTGGAGACTTATTGCCAGAAGGTAAAAACCACTTTCTTGAAATGACGAAGGTTTTCAATATAAAACCCAATTTTGCACATTATTGGTGCATGGCTAATCTCTATGCTAGCCATGGTTTAGTCCAAAATGCAGTTGAAATCTTGAAGAATATGCCGGTTGAAATAAATGTGTCACCCCAATCCTCATTGTGGGCTGGCTTATTAGGATCATGTCGTTTTAAAGGTGATGTGGCTACAGGAGAACAATTTGCAAAAGCCCTGATTGAAGATGACCCATTGAATCATTCATATCATGCATTACTTATCATGATTCATGCCGTAGCAGGGCGATGGGAAGATGTAGCTACGATTAAGTGTATGATGAAGGAAAGAGGGTTTAGTGTACCAGGTTTTAGTCTTGTAGAATTGACAGAAATAGTTAACAATCTTGAGGTGGGAGATAAATGGCAAGATAGCATATCTAGGCTCCATGAGCATGGATGAGGATGATTCTACAGAAAAACGCGTTAAAATGCAACAAAGTGTGGTTTAGTTCCTAGTTAGTGTAACGATATGAACTATGTCGAGTCATGCTAGTTTTGGGTCCAACAAGAAGAACTAACCGGTGAATGCATCAAGGTAATTGCGCTAACGAATCACTGTTTCGAAGAAAGACTCATCAGGAACCCATGAGAGATTTTTCATTGTCCCTTTTAAGGTATTACTACATACATGCATTTCAAGAAACATAAATCATTTATTCATATGAATTTCTTAATTTGAGGCTCTTTTGGGCTGTGTGTTTTGAACTGTGACATCTGGAGAAACTGTAGCTGCTTTTGTTTTTGATATCAAATGACAATGAACTCTTATTTTATTAAGGTTTCACTTCTGACCATGATTGTACTATGGATGGGTTAGGTCATTATCCTAATTGAGAAAGTGGGGTTGTAATTTTGGCTTCTTTCTTGAATTGATGGAGCGTAAGAAGCTGTAAATTGTGCAGGCTTGCTTTCCCTTTTTGCAGTGTATTTATCTGTGCATTCTGCATATAAAATGGTACATCTCTGGGTTACTAAAATAGTTCTATTGGTGATAGGAAGCATTTGTCCAATGACATTCACGGGTACGAAAGTCAGGTAGACAAATGAAAGAATTGTACAAGATTTTAAGGTTTTATTTTGACATTGGTAATTTAGTTAACCGGCTTTGTTTGTTTGCCTGATTTTTGTTCCACCTATTTTGGTACACATTTGTCCAATGGATAGTCTAAATATTGCGTCAACGGTGGACGCTCTTTTTTCTTGTCAATCGACAGTATTGAACTCGAGTCACATTGAAGAATCAATGGGGTGTGAGCATTAGCCAAATGACAAATTCGTTTTGAAAGTAGGTTCTCAAAATAGGAACCGAAAAGAGTATGTTGTGTTTTGATAGAGTTTACTCGATTGAAAAATAACTTGTTAACCATAATCATTTACACCGATAGATGCAGCCGGCCCTATGGGTGGGCAGCCCTGGCGGCGGTCCAGGGCATCAAATAGCCCAATACTAGTTGTATAGTTATTAAAAATTAAATGGAATTGTTACCAGAAAATTTTGAACCAGAGTCATCTAGTATTATCAGGAGGTTTTTACCAAAGAGCCAGAGATTATTTTGTTTATATTTATCTAGATTTCCTTTTAATATTTTGCTTCGTATTCTCCATTTTCCTTTTTTCACTTCCAGTTAAATTTTAAAGTTTATTTTTGTCGTGCTTTTACAACAATAAATATTTATTTGAAATAAAATTAATAGCACAGTTGACAACTTATTATTATAAGAAGACCATACAATAATACTTGAAAAGTTATTATTTTTGTTACATGTATAATTTCGTCAAACATGTTCATTCAAAAAATTGGGTGTTGATTTGTTGCTCGGTAAAGGACATCTCATCATCATCAGAATTCCATTTTTATATCAATTTTAATACAATTTCACTACAATTCTACACCAATTGATGTTGGTGAAATGTACAACAAATTTGGTATTTAATATTTATGCAAGTTTGATGTCTATATAATTTTAATTTATTTGATTACAAATGTTATTTTAGTTATAATATTTATTAATATTATATAATAAATTATACTTATATTAGTTGATATATGATATATATATATGTATAAATAATAAAACATAAAAAAAATGACACACACACATATATGTATATATTATGATTCAAGAAAATAAAAAAGAAATACATAAGTGAAGATAAAATTTGACTAACACATAGTAGAAATTTAATTGTTTTTATATTGTTTGTTCAAATGTGTTATAAAATTATTATAACAAATTTCATGCGTAGAATTTGTGTAAACTAATAAAAGTAATTAAAAAGGTATATAAGCTAAGAATATGAAATATACTTTTAATAATTTATTTGATGCAAAAAATAATATCATGCATCATTGGAATTAAAATACTACAGTTTACACAAAATTTTATATCATTTTGTTGGAAGAAATTGTGCAAATGATTGGATATAGACTAACAATATTTGAACAGTTTTACAAACCTAAAATATATTTGCATTTTTTCCCCTGGTTGGGCATGTTTTAATGTTTCCGTCGAGGACATCAAAAAGTTTTGGACCGGCCTTGACGATAATTGTAACTATTTTAAGAACTTGATAACCAACTATTATGATAAATGTAGTAATAGATATTTATGAAATTATTCATAATAACAATACATGGTATTCATGATGAATATGTTATAAATAATACATGAAATAGTTGGTTTCCAAATTTTCAAAATATTTATGGTTTTCATCACTGTATTTTAATGATTGCTAATAGATTTTCTTCAAAGAAGTTGGATTCTTTTAACAATACAAATAAAAGTTGTTATATCACTTGTAATAAATGATGTGATGACGCGAGTTTCATTTACAAAAATGTATGCTTGTATCACACTCATCAATATTGTGTCTTTTGGCTGGTAAAACTAATATATCTCACCTAAAAGTATGGTTAAGAAACAGTAAAATGGGTTGTCGGAACCATAGTAGTTAAAAGTGTGTGTGAGGCACGCTTAAACCCTAATATCATCCATATCTTTGTAATTCATTTATGCTTTCAATTGTGTCACCTCAGCTTTTGCAATTATCATTTATACACGTACAATTCATCTGCTTTTCAAAAGTGGTTCCTACTACAACATTTACTAATTTCATTATAAGTTATTATATATATTCTAATTATATTTTATTAAATTATATCAAAACACAATATAGAAAGAAAAAAAAGATTATATTAATCATTGTTTTCTCCTCCTTCAAATTGACTCTAAATCTCTTCAACCAAATCCTTTTATAGTTGATTGTTGTGAACCTTGTTATTATGATTACATTAACCATTATTATAATTGTGTTTATATTTTATTTAAAAAATAAAATATATGCTTTGTATAAAAAAAATTAGTTTATTTAAATTTAATAAAAAAAGAATTGGAAAGAGATGCTGACATGGCTTGCAAAGCCAATTGCAACAATCGCTATTGGCAACCGTACGTGAAAGCAAAAGTGAAATGCAATTGAAAGTGAAAGTGGTATTGTGATACATGTGTGGATGCTCTAAAAGCTTACAAGGCTCAAAGTCTTGAGCTTTTTTAAAGCCTGAGTCGAGGTTCATTAAGGCGCTGCCCTTGGCTGAGATGCCTTGTTGGCCCAGGTGTGTCTTATAACGAATCATTAAATATCTAGTAAAACCCTGATATTAAATAATTTTTCTTATCTTCTCATCTCTTAGACTTCTGAAAAAAGAGTTACTAAATAGATGATATTAATTAAACCCTAACACTAAATACCTGATCCTTAGGACTTCAACTCTTCAAGCCTCCTCTATATATACCTATCCCTTAAAACTCCTTCCTCATGGCTCACACTTTAAACCCTCCAAGTATTGTCGGTTTCTACATTGGAGGCTCACGCCTAGGCCTCGGGAACCCTTTACGTCTAAGTGAGCCTTGAGCCTTTTAACAACTTTTGGGTGGAACCAAAAATGTATTATTTTAAAATGGGTAAAAGAAACACCCTCCCCTTTAATAGGAACACAATTGAAAGGAAAATTCTACTGTATAATCCATTTTATGGCATATAAAGATAACCGAACAATATGTTTCCATTCTTTCGAAATGATTCATTCCAACCATGAATCTATCCAATCTAAACAATTATTTTGAAACAAAAACATAACCATGAATCAGTATGTGCTATGATCGCTCTACGATTCCATGTACTGACCAGAGGGCGGGCTTGTTTTTGTCTGTTGAGGACCTGCGAATGTTGATATGCAACCCACATTGATCAAAACAAAACCAAACGAACCAATAAATTCCAAACGAAGTAGGATTTCTGGAAGGTTGCGCAAACCCTACCTCTACCCCAAATTCATCTCATATGATCAATTATGACCCAAAATGATATGTATTGATGCACAAAGATACATAATCACTATTGGCATGCAAAGAAAGAGAGATGGAGAAAAGCAATGCAAGTGCAATTATAACCAGGCTGCAAAAAATTGCAATGAAAAGACCAGCTTGACATGAACAAACTAACAAACAAACAAATGCAATTCTCTCATCGCCTGCTCTGATATCATGGTAAATGGGCTTGGTATAACTTGCCCCGAAAAGTTAACCCAAAGGAGGAGGGTGCCCAAACCACATATATACATATAATACCAATCTTGAGGACAAATACTAGTTGAATAGATAGGATTTACCATGAATTCTTCGCATCTCGATTTCGCGCAATTCTTGGACAAGGGCACAACAACAGCAGCAAAAATGCAAAACAAAGTCATGACAACAACCTCCCTGTGGAAACAGAACATGTGGGAAACAAGTTATACTTTGATTACATGGAAACAAGATTACTAGTAGCAGTGTCCTATTTCACATTTGACTTTATGAATGCAGGAATATAAAGGAGAACAAAGAACGTAACTAAGTTATTTACAGGAATAAACCAAACAAACACAGTATATCCCACTCAAAAGTAGGGGTTTGGGGGAGGGATATACGTAGGCCTGTTCTCCACCCCAACGGGTAGAGCGGTTATTTCCCTGAGTAGAACATGCAAATTACCTTGATGCAAAGCAAGAAAAGAAAAGAGTTGTTTTAAAGATTATTACCCTGATGTTAAAAGTATTCCGAAGCTTCCTTCTGATGCAACAAGTATAGCAACAGCATGACACTATTAGGGAGTAAGCCACCAGCTCATTACAGGCATCTACAGAAGCTGATACAAACACCATTTTTGGCATTAAAGAAGATAATAAAGATAGTCTTGACAGCATATTCCACTTCAATTAAAAAATGATGGCATACAGGAATTACCTAATTGACACTGAAATTAATGGTATTGGTCGAGAAAACAAGTATTGATTTACAAAAACCCTTTGCTATAAGGTATTTTAGTCTCCGATTGAGCTGGAAACATGCTGCTAATCAAGCTACACTTGCTCTAAATGGTTGGAGCTTGTTGAGGCAGTGATTTACCTCCCCCATGATGGTCAGGGGACCGGTGCAATGGGGCCGCTCCAGAGGATGGCGTCTACCTTTTTATTTTGAGAATAACCTGGAAGTAAGGAGTTCTAATCCGACACTTGTGGATTGGGTGCGTCAACTCATCTTGGGGTAGGTTCCCCTAGTCTTCAAAAGAAATTATGTCATTAAGTTCTGCTCCCTTCATCCCAAAATAAATGTCCACAATAAAAAGGACCCACATTCTAGAAATCTGTAATCTTTACACTTTTTACTTGACTAAATGAGAGTAATGAATTTTACCCGAATTTCTACCAAGAACGACCTACCTTCACTATATAATTGTGTTTTGTACTACTACCTCATTGGGTATATTGACTAAAGAAGTCCATGGCCCCCGTATTTATTAGCACATATGAATAGAACATTAATAGAATATTACATTAAAGTTCATATTCAAATGAAAAGGGAAGGCTCAAAGGTGCCAATTTGAATCGATAAGTATACAATCTTACTCATGTGCCTGTTTGTTGCCACAGTAGCAATCTTTGAGAGTGTTCCACAAGGAAATAAGAAGGTTTTTAAACCTGCACAAATACGATACAACTTTCTTAGTGCAAATTACTATAACCAATGAGATTTAAAATGGCTAACAGCTTTAAAATTTGTAATAAGTGCATATTTGGCAGCAAAGAAGGCCACAATATCATATAACAAGGAGAGAAGGAAAGATATAGAGAATACCAGCGATAATTTGTTCTAAATTGTTTACTTAGAACTTGAATCGTCTGGGTCTCACATTGTTGGAGTCCCACATCGTCTGGAGTTGGATCAGTGCTCCTAATATATGTTGGAACCTATCCTTCTCTTCTAAAGGGCTCTTTTGGAGAGTAATCTAATCACATATTCTCACACGGTATCGGCGCCAAGATCTACCACTCTAAAGACTCGACATTCTGGGACAATTTGTGCCTGTCTACTCAACACTCTGGGACAATATGTACCTGTCTAGCCTCTGTTGGAAGGGGCATATTGGAGTCTCACACCAGCTAAACTTGGACCATTTCTCCTTAATATATGTCGGAACCTCTGTTCTCTTCTCAAGGGATCTTTTGAAGCATAATCTAATGGGGTTTCACATATTTTCACACACACACACACACATTTATAGACGGAAGTTCCACTAGGATCCTAAAATTGATTAGGAACCCGGGAGCCGCTCACAAAGCGTATAAAACTCCAAGTGTAAAAGAAGTAGAAAGGCAGGCATTCATACAAATGGAAAATCAGATCAAGTGAAAAGGTTGTGCTGAAAAACATACACATCATAGGCTCTGAACAACAGCCAAGTAGATCCGAATGCCATTCTTCATGTCGATGAGATTCGAGCAAATCTTGCCTGGATGAAGTGGAAGAAATGCTTCTGCATTTGTTCTCTATTATTACCACTTCCTTTCAAGAAATATAAATTTTTAGATCAACTTATATGCACACAAGATACCAACCTTAAAGCTGAATGAGCATTCATTGGCAGATTGTTATTATCTTCCTGTCCTTTGTTGCTGCTGAGATATGGATAGTATGACACATCCTTCTCAAATTGAGAATCTGAAGCAAAAACATCTGCTATTTCCATCAGACGTTGAATCATTTCACATTGGCCAACATCTAAATAGGATTGTGAATGTTGTAGTTCCAGATGAAGCTTTTCATTTTCTTTCTTGATAACCTCGTTAAAAGGCAAGTCTGGGTAGCTAAAAGATAGTGATTTTCTCAAAACAACAGCATCTGTTTTGGATGGATCAGGGTTCATAATAACATCTTGCACCTTTCTGTCATCATCATCCAATGTGTATTCATGCTGATCCATTTCAATATATTTGAATGTTTCCTGCTTAAAAGATTTTTTTTATTAGTAGTAGAAGAACAAGGCGGTTTATGTGTCCAAGGCGTTATACATGGACATGTTGCACCCAAAGTGTATGATATCCAGTTATTGAAGAAAAAAGTAGCACTACAACAAAATTGGCTTTATAGGATATCAAATATGACTAAATGTCCTAAGTGTATGATATCACAATTGTTTGACCCTATAAACATAAGTCTTATAAAGCAGTCCGTTTAAACATATTTGGTTTCCTATAAAGCCAATATTATTGTAGTGTAGTTAATACAGAAAAAGGCAATGAGGATAAAAATCAAGTCTATACCCTGACTCGAGCATTATCAACAAGCGTAATGAGTGGGATGATCTTCAAGTAACGATCAATCTCCTCTTGTGCCTTTCGGAATTGGTAAACAATGGTCCATCCCATGGCAAGCAAGTACAGATAACTTCGGTCTTGACAACTATTGACCAAAATGTAAGACCTCCTAAGTGCATCCTCAAGTTGCTCCAAAGGCTCTCGTGTCTCTGGATGCTTCTTAAGTTCACTAATTTTAAGCTGTTGTAAAAGATTTCCAATCAACCTTAGATGCATTGCAAATTGCATGCAGTTCTTCTTGTGCAAACGAGCCGTGCTAGCAGCTTTTACAATCATTCCAATTAACCTCACTGCATCAAAGCCAGTTAGCTGGGCCACTTCTGCAATCTCCCCCAAGTGATCCCAAGAAGCAGCCATTGATGATCCTAAACCAAACTAAACTAGCCCAGTATATCTCAACCGAAAGTGGGGTCCAGGTCAGATGTATGCAAACCTAACCTTTGCCCTCAAAAAGTCGAGCTGTTGTTTCCGTGAATAGTAGCCATTGATGATCCACCTTCAACAAACTCCATCTTCCTTATCTTTGTTTGCTTGATAAATACCCATTTTGCATCACGATATCACACCTACTTCAGTTGGAAAATTTTCATATAATTGAATTACCATAAATTGCTTATATCTGTTTATGCAAGCTTCAAAGGATCTTCAAGAATTATGAGATCTTCAACAGTATATTCTGATCAAACTCAGAATTAACTACAAAAAGAAGAAGCATGATTAAGTAAAAGAGTCAAACAAGATCTCACTTCCTTTTATCAAATTAATGGCAAACAAAATTACTAAAAACAACCAAAATACCTAAATCAAACATAAGCTTAACAGTAAAATTTAGCCTGGGTTTCATCATCATAGTTGGCACAAATTGACGCAAGTATGTGAATGTGAATAAGAAGATGACATAAAACTGAAATTGCTTTCTAACCTTTTGTACGTTTTGTTTGAGGGTTTTGGAGTTCCGTGAAGAAGCGTCTTCATCTGCTTGAAACCAACCATTTCAGCAGCCATGCATTTTTCCGGTGGAACAATCGATTAAAGGAATTGGAATTCTTCTTGTTGAAACCTCCCTGTTCTGTTTGTGTTTGTGTTTGTGTTTGTGTTTGAGAGGGATTGGGTGTCTCTTTCGTCCATCCGCTACGTCTACTTGTTCTCTTCCCATATACAGAAGGTACATTACCATCCATGCTTTCTTCTTATTCTCCAGAGATTAATCCATTTTTGAACAAAATGATTATCACTTCAATGATTTTCCAAAGCCCGTTTTCTAAGTCATGTATGATAAAAAGTTGTTTGTATAGATTCAATTGGGTGGGTGTTTGGGATTGCTTTGGAAAACAACTTAATGATTTATAATTGTGGCATCGGTAATAAGTATTTTTGAGTGTTTGGATAAACGGTTTATACCGGTGGCAAATCGGTAATAAAGAAGTTTTTGAAAAAGTTAAACAACTCTAACTTATAATAAGTTGACAAAGACTTTTATAGAAAAATATAACTTGTTTCCAAAGCTCGTTTCCTATGTCATGTATGATTATCACTTCAATGATTTTCATTTGGATTGTGTTTTTTTATTCTTTACATATATAGAAGGAGCGATGAGTAATTTTAGCCCCATAAAATTTTACGCTATAAATTCATTGAATAAGTCATTTTCTATATTATTAAGTCATTACTAAATATTATATATAGCTCACTGAATAAGCTATAAATGTATTAAACTTATTAAATTATTAACAAACAAGTTTTAAATTATCTATTGAAATTTCGAAATCATCTATACTATATAATAAAGCATTTGACAAAAACACATAAAAATCACTTTTTATGTGTAAAATACTGTTTAATAATGCATATTACTTACAACTCAAGATTACAAGAAGATTGTGCGTAAGTACAACTTATTAAAGCTCCATATATGAATTCGTGTAACTAACCGCAGATAATCATACTCAAATACAGGATAAACATCTCATTTTAAATATAAAAAATCTGAAATATAATCAGGATAATCATTGAGTTCTAATAGAATACTTAATTATTATCTTTATAAAATGTTATATTATTAAACCAAAAATAAATTATTTTATTATCAAACTTAAAATTAAATTATAATAAAATAAATAAAAGAAATTACATAAAAAATGAGAACTTTTAAATAGTTGATTTATATTGACATTGATATAGTTTTCTTCA